AGCGTCAAGCTGATACGCAATCGTAAGAAATTGGGATGCACTATAACGTTGTCGCTGATAAGCCTGTAGGCAGACATTTGTGGCTGTCAAACCACAAGAATTTGGTAGGTCTGCCCGCAGATCCGAATCGGTCACCACTGGAAAGCCAGATGTGATCTGGCGGGGTCGGCGCGTAAAAGACGAACGCCGCCGACGTGGCAGAGCAGGTTGTCGGTATATATATATATATATATATATATATATATATACCGTCAAATAGAACTGCCCGGTAAACCGTAGGCAGAGAGGGAGAAGAGGACAACAAACGAGGGGCTGTGACAAACTGTTATTACGACTGGAAAACGGGTGCACAGCATCCCTCACATGTGGAGGCAGCACATTCTATGCTTCTCTCTGTTATGGTTATCGAGAGAACCTGAGACAGCAGCATTGATGGCTTTCCCAGCGGGAAGAATTAGAATTAACCCCTGCTCTACCCACATGGTCAATCATGCACTCCATCATGAGACCACGAGTAGGTCCTTACTCCCAAGCATCAAGCCCTGATTCACAAGCATCAAATTCCACCCCCCACCTACATCCCTAAGCACATGTTGTTCCTGTATGTCACAACTGACGTGGGACTTTAGCAATACCCCTTTCGATCACTGGAGCCTCGTATACGTACACTATTGCCCTCGTCGTTTCAACCAGCCTCATTCTACAGTTGTGCGCAGTCACAACCCATTATAGATAACAGTAGATTCAACGCACAGGGTGTATGCTCACACTACTTGCTCTTCATGACAGCTTACAGTTAAACGTAATCGTTCTTTGGATCTCTAAGTCCCCAGACCCATCTTCTTAACATTACCTGAATTAGGCTGGCATGCAGTCATGTAGCAAGCGGAAAGGCTCAGCGGGACTGACCTGAATTGAGCTGGCATGCAGCAGTGCAGAGTGCGCAAAGGATCAGATCGAGTGCCTGATGCGTTCATCATCATCATCACCGTAGGTTCAAGTCCGTTATTACCCAGATGGGAAAATACTAAAATAGCTTAGTTGGTTAAGAGTGCTGGTCTGCCACACCAGAAGTCCTGTGGGTTTTCTACATGAGATATGGCAGAATGAAGATGCAAACCAGGGGGAAGGCAGGGATGGTGGAGGGGGAAGATTCAAAAAAGAGCTGCCGATTCTATACATACCATCCAACCTGTGGGCCAATATGTGAGATCGCCATCTGCCAGCCCGCTTTCCATGCAGCAGTACCCTCTACATAAAACGCAAAAGGGGCCAGGTATAGCAAGGAAACTATTGATATCATGGCATAAAGGTTGATGCCGTCGATTTCCTGCAAAGCACAGAGAGGAGAGAATGCATGTGACCGCGTGAGTACAAGCCACCACCGTGAGTGCAATCATATAATTCAAATTACAATTGTGAGAAAAAAAGAGGACCAGGTGCATGGATCATCAGCCTCCAGCATACCGACATTGTGACCAAGGACATGTTGACGACTTAGCGCCAAGTTCACTCACACGTTTACAACTTTACAGTAATTTCAGGTGTTGGCGCTTGTGCGCGTACTCATGTATTCTTTCTAAATACTTAATGTACACAACGTGAGGACCAAAAACAGTACCAGGAACGCAACTACCACCAGGACCAGTACCAGGAACAGAACCAGCACCAGGACCAGGAACAGGACCAGGAACAGGAACAGAACCAGCACCTGGACTGGTACCAAGAACCAGTACAGGAACCAGGAATGGAACCGGTGCCAGGACCACGCATCATCAGCACAGTGCATCGCCTACGAGAACGAAATAAAATGCTGCCCCGAACTGGGTACAAAGGTCTACAACCAGTCTGCCTTGCCTGTACGCCTTGCCTTATCATTCAAGACAACCTTAGGGCTGGAACCCACAGGCCAAAATCTTGGAAAACGGGCGACGCGAGTGCTTTTCCCGGACCCCACTGGAAGAAATCGGGTTC